TGCTTGTAAGCAGTTTTAAGTTTACACAATTGTGAGCTCCATTTGCAGTTGCTGACCTTTGCCGCATTATGCAAGCTATCGGTTTAACTTTAATAGTTTTGAGCTTCTTCCAAAAGTACAATAAATTCCCTTTATAGTAAGGAATGTATAAAGAAATATTTATACATATGGAATTTCGTCTGCATTAAAATTCTCTATTGAATTAATATTATATAATTAATATCTTCTAATGTTCAGATGCAAATTCGTGTGTATTAAAATTCCCTCTTGAATTAACATTATATAATTACTACTATTTTATGATTTTACTCAGCAGTATTTCACAAAGGTTAATTAAAGATTATTTTGCAATTCCTCACGTTGGAGCGTACACAGATAAAAATGCGTGTTTTAAAATTTCCTTTAGAATGAATATTCTATTACTACTTCTTATTCGTTATTTTTCAAAGTTCATCATTTGTATTACTCAACATCCAAACAAACGCTAAATAGAAACCCCAGGAGAACCCATAAATTATTAAAATTTCCACAAACCTCTCCCTTCGCAGAACAAAAACATCTTTCAAAATCACAGACACCCTCGACTCGAAGTTAACCGCAATCCGCCCCTCTTCGTCCTCATCGACGCTTAGGAAGCAGCATAAGTTTGTTCCTTCCGAAGCGACGCCCACTCACCCTTTACTTAATTGCGAAAATCCAAGAGTCGTAAGGTAGACCAGGCTCGGTGTTTCGGGGCGCGGGGGTTCGGTTAGCAGCAAACCCTCGACGGTCCCCCCAGAAGACGGGGTTCCGTTTTTCCATCGCGTTCTCTCGCTTCTTCCAGGTTCGTCACAACCCTTCCGTAGAATTAGAGACGACGCAAGGACGAGAACTACAACGACGTCGACGACGACGTTCGAGGTTCCCTCCTTCCTTCTTTCGTCTTCCTCGTTGCTCCCCCGTCTCGCTTGTTCTCCGCCTCGGTTCTCAGTTCTCCTGCTACTCTATGCCGGGAAGCCTCCATTAAATTCATTAGGCCATTAGTGGCTGCAACCCTCCAAGATGGCTCCCGTCGCCTGGCAACGCTTTGCTTCTCTCCACGCTCTCGCCTCTCCGTGTCTCTCCTTCTTTGTCCTTCGTTGCTCATCCCCTTCGGGGAACCGTGTCCCTCTTCCGCTCTTCGTCTTCCAAGCTCGCCTTCCGTCCCTCTTTCGCCGGCTTTAACGTGTCTCCCTCTCGAGCAGGGTGGGTCTTGGCGGGTGTAATTAGATTCAACGAGCGAAAAGGGAAGGCGGTGGGTAGGTTCGTAGGTCGGAAAAGGCGGCGGTGGGCTAGGAGGGTAGCTCGAGAGCTACGTTACCGAAGAGGGCCATTGCCTTCGGATGTCCAGTGTCTCGCGTCGTTTCTCTGCCGTCCTGCCACCCCTTGCTCCTTCCCCTTGCAGTTTTCTCAGTACGACGATACGTGTTTTATTTTATTTTTTTGAAAGGTTTAGTGCCTGGATTATGTTATTCGAAGGATAGAGGGGGGTGGGGGTGGGGTGGGGACGAAAGAATATCTTTTTTTCTCTTCACCTTTATATTTACCCCCTATAAAATCACTTGACCCTCTCAAGAAATCGACAACCATTTAATTAAAATGCACATTGATAAAAAGCTAAACGACCACGGACCGCACAATTAAGATAAATCCGAATTGAAACACGCGCGTCTCGCCGACCCTCGAAAGGGTTGTTTACACGTTGATAACGAGCGCATACGATATGAAATTATTGCAAAGATACGAAAGATCCAGCGACAGTTGTAACACACGTTCCGCCTGCACGAGTATCTAATGAAAAGACTCGATTTTTCTATCTCCTTAATTGGGTCGGTCGCCTATTTACGCAGCACTTACCCTGCCTTTCATATGCACGACCTGAAATCGACTGTAAAATTGATAAGAATAACGATCGAGGCGTCTCGTGGAAGATAAAAGTCGTCCAAAAGTCGTTCCACCGCGCACCAGTGATTTCTCAGACTGGCGCTAGTGTTTGATCCAGTTTCGTCAGGAAAATGAGCCGAACGAAGGAAGTACGTAAAGAATGACGAGTCCTCTCTCTCTTCCACGACGAGGGTGAGAGAGTCACGGTAAAGATGAGTCGAAAGAGGGAGGCATTGCATCCGGAAAATAAAGGAAAGTAGCGGCGGTAATCCAGAGCGCAGGCCAGGGTCTTACCGAGGCTTCTACCGATGTTTATTGAGTCGGTACGCGCACGCGCTACATGCAACACTATCATCTCATCTCATCTGGTCTCGTCTCATCGCCCGTGTACCTCCGGGGCCAACTCTTTTCTCCGTATTCTGTGTTTTTCCCTGTCTCTCTGATTTTTTCCAACCCCCTTTCGTCCGCTACTCGTTTTCTGTTCGTGTCCTTTCTTCCACATCTTCCCTCCCTCTTCCCCTTTAGAGTTCATAGTGTCCTCTCCTCTTCGGTCTCATTCTCCACAGTTTCCCTCTGCCTTCTCTCCATTTTTCCTCCCTTTCTTCACCAGTCCGTGTGCGCGAGTGTGCGTCTGTTTCAGCGCCACCCTCTCACCCCCTGTCGTTGTCTCTCCGCACCTTATCCAGCGTCTTCACGACGTCCATTCAATCCTATCTCATCTCCTGCAGGTTACCCCGGACCTCGCGTCCCCAGTTCCCTTTTTCCTTTTCCACGTCCGCCAACCAACCCCCTCCGACCCCTTCCACATTCGTTTCTGCCGTTGGGAAAGAGAGAGAGAAATCGAGAACGCCAGCAGAGTCGATTACCAGTGTCATTTTTATATCGCACCACCTTCGGGGACCACTGCTCCCTGTAAACAATGCGCCAGTGGATATTAGATAGAATTGGACGCTGCTCGGATCCCCCAAATGACTCCTGTCTATTGCTTCTACCTGCTCGAAATCGAAACCGTGTCTACGAGCTTTCCTGCTTTATCAAGAACCAGTGGGAAATTGGATGCCCCGTTCCATGTAAACAATGTTTCCTTTTAAATTGTCACTTTGATGATTTTATTTTTAAGTAAATATAACAGTGAAATAACTTGTGCTGTATTCAGACGTGAACGTGACCGATAACAAAATTTCTTTTGAATGTTTCATAATGATTTAGAGAAATTCCAAGTTAATCCTTGAGATTTTATTTTATGAAAAGTAGATAATCTAAAGTAAAGAATCAATAAAATACATAGTTTCTGGGTTGGGCCAGTGTTAAGTCTGGTTGATTATTGCCTTCGATCTTTCAAAGGGGATGTCTTTGTCCCAACATGTCTTTTTTTCCCAACCCTAATTCACGAAGATCTTCAGAAACTTGACGATGTCTATTCATGTGGACGATTAAATAATGTATTCAGAGTAACGGTTGCGGCGCAGCTGTCATTAAAATCTGGACAAGCAGCGAGTGAAGTACCCAGTAAGGGTTGGTGAACGAGTAAATAAAACCGCTTTTACGGTTAGGAGATTAGTTGTCGGATTTTGGCGCGATCGCGGCGATTACGCGCCTTATAATATTTTAGTACGGGCGATTAAAGGATTCGCTTCACGACTGATTCGAGATTTCCCTTGCTGTTCGTCCTGCACAGCCAAGCGACCAATTTCCTTCGATTTCGCATTTCCCTGGAAATTATTATCACCAGGCAATGATAACTAATTTTACAGGGGCATAAATCGTCTATGTAAGGGTTCAGGATTAGGTCTCGGTTAATTTACGAATGTTAAGATGCCAAGATGAGAAAATAAAAAATGTTTATATCCAAGGTTTGCTCCCTTAAATCGTCATAGGGAGATCCAAGGGTTTTCCTCGTCATAAGATAAAAATTGAAAGTGTTTGAATTCAAGAAAAGGTTCACGATGATGAGTAGCGAGGGAGGAGTAAGGAAGCAGAGAAGAATAGGTACCCATGAATGCGAAGTAGGGTGATTTCGTCGAGGCCTCTAAGTGGTGAGATTAAGTGCTACGTAAATTCTTCCAGCGACCTGCTCTCTCTCCATTGGATAAAGAATTGCCGCTTGGTAAGACGCACCGCCAATGAAGGTAAAGTGAGAGCAAAGACGAAATAAAAAAATTAATTTACGCAAATTTTATTCGCACCTAAACGTGAAAAATGAATTTTATTAAGTGTCATACTCGTTATTGTACGTGTAAAGACTATTTAAAAATGAAGGGACCTTCCAGTGTATAGAGTGTTAGTCAAAGAATATAATTCTTTATTTGTTTATCTTTAATTTACCACTTCTTATATGTTTGTTATATTGAATAAAGGGTTTTTAATGAGTATTCGAATTTTGATTTGTATAGATTCATAGGACGCGCGCTTCACGGTACCGAATATAGTATAGCCATCTAGCGGTGAAAGGATTGAACTAATTTCTACATATCTCACTAACGCCATCTACGGCAAAATGTCCAAGCTTGTAGTGAAATAGTTTGAATTCTAAACTGCTAGATGGCGCCAGCAGGTACTTTTCTACCAATATTGCATTATATTCGCATAATTCGTTTTACTTTGATCAATAATTAACTTGTAAGTATACTATAAGCCTCGTGATATCAAAATACGGTAGAAAATATTGTCCAACTTTTATTTTTTTATCGACATTCTGAACAAACTGGTAGTGGCATTTACCGGTGAACAGCTAAAACTATTTTCTATAAGCTTGGACGTTTCATGGTAGATGACATTGTTCGTTCTTTTGGCAACGTCATTTTTTTTTATGACGAAATATGTTTTAGACCACTCCTAATTTATATCCCAAAAGTTGCAAGCTCAAATTATCGTATATTATGCCTTACACTGTGTACAATTATGTAGATATATATATATATATAAAGAAAAGTAAAATATAATATTACGATTAAAAAAAACTGGGGAACTGGGGCTAGTATTCGAAGTATCCAATCAGAGTTGTGAACAAGCTTCACAAATCTCTAGCTTACCACTTAAAAATACAACATAAGATTCTCTTGAGGAAATTGCTATCGTTCGTTTACGTTATCAATGCTTTTGCTAGTCAGGTGGGAATGAAATTTGTGTGAGCGGATGGCAGCGAATGGGTTGATACGTTCATAGGTATCGTAATGGCTCCGTTCATGTGGAGTTCTAGAGGGAATATCAACCGGTTTTTAACTGATGTTCAAATATTACAATACCTTATCGTCTTAGTCGGATTATTTAATTTGTCTTTGTGTCTTTATGAGGATCAAATTGGAAAATTTGACTGGTAAATTGTCTTGCGTTCTTAAACAAATGTTAATTATATTGGTCAACCTCTTAAATAATGCAATAGCATGAGTTGTGTTTGACAGTGTACTACTCGAACTATTTTAAATGAAAGATTCATCATTTCGCTTCCAGGAAACAGAATTATGTTGGTAAAATTAAATTTGCCAGTTTCGATACGGTCTCGACCGCGAAAAAGATTGTTGTTGCCACCGAGGAAAATGTTATTGCTGCGTTAAATCTTAAGTCAGGTGAGCTGTAAACATTATTACAAAATCGTCCACGTGTAACAAATGCGTACGGCTATTAACTGTTTCATATTACGAATGAATGTTTACGACCTACAACTTAAACATTAGGAATTAGCATAAAAAAACAGCAAATATCAAACATTTATCTTTTTATTCCTTGCGTTTAATATGTAATATTAAACTGTTATAAATAGTTATAAATAAATAAAATTTAAATATCGAAATAACATTGATTCACTCATTTATCTAATGCAATATAATTATCATATACCATCAGTACTAACAATAGTCTGTTAGAAACATTGCAAGTACAAGTATTAAAAAGAAAACTTAAATATTTAGGACAAATATTATGGAGGCGTGTATTAGAAAAAGGATATGCAGGCCATATTCATGCACTGGGTGGAGTCTCAGATGGAGATCTTGTTTCTGTAAGCGGAGGTGTACCGGCCATTGTCCGTGCATGGGATTTAGCAACTGGACATATTCTTCACGAATGGCCAATAGCTGAGCAAAATCCTGATAGGTTATTATTATTTTTTAACATTAGTAATATCAAAGAAATGAATTCTATTGTTTCAGTTATCAGATAAAATATATTGTTTCCAAAGCAACATGCAAAAAGTTGTATATTATTCTTGAAAAACTTGCATAAGAATTTAAAAAATAAATTAATTAATAGCATATACAATTGATTTTCAGACGATTCTCTCCATTTATATCTTTTTCTACATTGGGATTGTACAGTGCTAACAGGTTTCTTTATCCTTATTTAATGCACAATCGATAATGTATATTTTACACATTGAACAATTATAGACCTGTTGCATTTATAAGTTACTTCACTTTAATTTTGTGTTTAGTTTACACAGTTAATATTTTTTTTCAATGCAATTTACAAAATATATAAATGTATAACATCACATTTTACAAGATCATTGACAAATATTGTATTTCAGCAGAAATGTTGTATGTAATTTTGTATAATACTCATAATTTTTTATTGTACAGAATCAAGGATATTAAGTGGCACATAAAAGATGGTACGCTACATCATATTTTACCAATCTATAATAGTGGTGTTGAGGTGACATCTTATGAAAGTAAAACAGGAGACAAATTGAAAAGCAGAAGAGTCAGTGCACCATTTATTACTCAAGACACAGAGTAAGAAATTGTTTGATCATCAAATATGTGATGTATAAAGTAATGTAGTAATTCTAATAATTCTTTCTTTTCCATTCGATTTAGATGTGTTTTAGCAGCACCATATCTAGCATGTTTACATGTAGATGGTTCGTTCGTGTTACTGTTCTTAGTATACTTATTTGATACAAACGCTCGACCACAATCGGTTTCGATAAATACAATATTTGGCGCTGGTACACAAGGCCCATATCACTTGGAATCAGTACTCGGCGAGGAACCTGCTATTTCAATTAGTGCGGATGGTAATCAGAGAAAACGAATTCTTCTTCTCAGAGATGTTCCTGTTCCTCTTCAGAGAGATATAGCTGGTAATGCTATGCTTTATATTGTTTCAATTGATAATGAAAAAGTGCTCCTAGAAGCGACATATCAATCTGGAGTAAGTATTATACCTTAGTTTATATAATAAAATTGTTTTAAATATCGTTTAATCCCAGTTCTAACCACGTTGATCAATTTGATTCCAGGTAACGAAAATCGTAGCTACAGAACTTTTAACATCAAACCCTCTGCCAAATTTATCAATCAGCGTAACGCATCCATCGCTAATGTCTCCGACAATTATGGCTTCGGTTTGTCCGCGGCAAGCGAAAGGTGTAACATGTCGTCATTTGCTATCTTCGCAAGACCACAGTGTCGCGTTGTTACAACATAATAAATTAATATGGGTCAGGGAAGAAGCACTTGCCAGTATCGTAGCTGTGGAGATTATAGAATTACCTATGTCGGATAGAGAGCAAGCAATTGAAACAGAATTCGATCAGAAAGAAAGTAAGTAAAATAAAATGTATATTTTTATTACATTTATTAAAATACAGCGGGAACTGTAATAAATCTGAATCTTTTTAAATTTACTAAGACACAGATCATATTTTGATGTGAGTTAGAAATACTAAAACAACATTATTACTATTCTATGTTTCTGTAATATCGTTTAGAAGATACCACCGAAAAGCTTGCAGTCGTAACTTAATTGTAATAACGATAACCAAACGGTGTTCTACTTTCGTGATTTATTTCTTAATAATCAAATATTAGTTAAATTGTATTAATTACCTTTCTTTTGTGAATGGCTGCTGGCAGGTATTGATGTAGACAGTTCATGTAAGTAGTGGAGCAGCAAGGGCTGGTTTGAAAAGTACTTTGTCTTCCTGCTGTTTATTAGACTTGTTCGCATGTATTGATTTTTTGTTAGATACTCGAAAGAAAAACAGATATTTTTGTGATTACTAATTATTGTTAACTTTGTCTTGTAAAAAATGACGCTATGATATTGTAATTAGTATTTGCATGAAAAAGTTACTTACCGAATGAAATGATACATATTCGAAAATATTGTAAGCAGTATACTCGCTAATTAACTAGTGGGTATAATTAGTATTTTAGTATGCATGTATAATTAGATAGTATAAAAAATTATTGTATCTACAAATTTAATGAGCTTTAGTATAATATTTAATTAACACACATTATTCAAACTAATTGCGTGCTATTTGCTACTGTTTCAATTTTATAACTAGATACTTCGTTTTTTTAATGATTACAGTATATAGAAAACAGTTTGCATTCTTCTTATGCGTGTAATGTATACAACTCCGTGATTTTATGTTGTGATTAGGGGATGTGCTGAGCATGATCTTCAGAAGGGTCAGTTCTCAATTTAAACAAGCAAAGGCATTTGCGCAATCTGTGTTAAGCCTTGCACCTGAACAGTCCAGTCAACGTACAGATTTAGTGCGAGATAAATTTGGATTACATAAAATGATCGTTCTTGTTACATCTGCAGGAAAAGTATGACGTCATTTTTCTTAGCTAATAATTAGCGATTGATATTATGCATCATATTACGATTTTCTGTCTAGTTATTTGGTATCGAAACTAGGAAAGGTGAAATTATTTGGCAACTTAGAGTGCCTAATATTCAAGGATTCATTAAAACTTCTAACTCAATAATCTTGTATGTGCAACGTGGTAGCCGACATTTTCCGTATCCACCACAATGTACACTACTAGCAGAAGATAAAGTATGCATTTTTCACATTAAAAAAAAAACAGTGTACAGAACCGAAATTTTAAAACTCGTCAATTTATTTCAAATATTTTAGAAAACGGGAGGAGTTATATATACATTTAACCCAATTACGGGTCAACCATTGGATGGTTTAGTAAAGTTAGGGTACAAAATAAAGCAATCCATGTTGCTTCATGTTGCAACAGATGATTTCTTACGCGGTATTCTTATTCTCGATACTCGGGATAAGGTACACGTATACCCCGAAGGTGCAACTGCAATTGCTGCATCGCTTGGTAAAAATACGTACATATTTACCGCTGATCAAACAACCGGTGTATTGTCCGGATTTTCTCTTTCATATAGCACAACCCAAGTATGTAAATCTTTAAGTATACTATGCGTTTAATATTTTCCGTTAGCAACTAAATACCATATCACTTTTTTAAGGAACTTATCGCTCATAAAGTGTGGGAACTACTGCTTTCATCGAAAAACCAAAGAATAACGCACGTTGTATCGAAAAACCCACTAGAACGTGTTCATTCTCAGGGTAGAGTTCTAAGCGATAGATCAGTTCTATACAAATATATTAATCCTAATTTGGTCGCTATAGTAACAGAGGGTGTTGGATACACTCATAAAAGTGAGTTAATTTAAAACTCATCTGAATATTGTTACCGATATTAACTTTCAACTATTAATTTACAGATACGCTTAACCTGTATTTGTTAGATGTAGTATCTGGGGCAATGATATTCTCCATTATACATAAAAGAGTACGTGGTCCAGTGCACATTGTGCATTCAGAAAATTGGATAGTATACAGTTATTTTAATGAAAAGAGTCGTAGGACTGAAATTGCTAGTTTAGAACTTTATGAAGGAAAAATACAGAGTAATACCACAGGTAACATACATTATTTTTTAATTTCTTTTTTAAATTTCGTTTGCAATGGCCATCCCTGATTCAAGATTTTTGTACTGTTTTAGTGTTCTCGTCGTTATCTACGACTAAGTTGCCAATTGTAGAGAGGCAAGCCTTTATTTTTCCGGCGGCAATTGAATCAATGCGAGAGACTATTACAGAAAAGGGTATTACGAGCAAACATATTATAGGTACGTGAAGTAGGTAGTAGCATTATATAGAGTGGTATGAATATTTACAAGTTATTTTTAATATTTAACAGTGGCCCTAGCCAATGGCGGAGTATTGGAATTACCATGGATGTTGGTAGATCCACGACGGCCTATTAACCCAGAAATACGTGAAGAAGGTGTAATACCATATATGCCAGAGATACCTATTCAAATGGACGCAATAATTAATTATAATCAAAGTGTCTTTAGGGTGTCAAATATTCATACTAGTCCTAGTGGCCTTGAAAGTACTTGCTTAGTTTTTGTACATGGTCTTGGTAAGTATTCTGAAATACTCTAAAGTATTTTAAAATTAACAATTTCGAAAAACTATACATATAATGTTCGCAGATTTGTTCTATACGCGCGTGGCACCATCTAAAACATTTGATGTTTTGAAAGAAGATTTCGATTATTGTCTAATTATGATAGTATTGGCAGCGCTTGTGATTGCATCGTACGTCACAAAAAAGTTAGCATCCCAGAAAGCTCAGAAGCAAGCCTGGAAATAATGTTTCTTTTCTTTAGAGAATCATTGCGTAACATTCTTAAGTATCTGTACACTAAAGGTAAAACATTCTGCTAATAATAATTTGTAAAGAAAAACTACTGTTTTATGAAAAACCGATGTTACTGCAAAGTAAATATTAACGACTTATTGTATTACATGGAGTTTCTTAATATACATGTGTGTATATTATTTATCCTTTTATTGGTACAGAACGCACACACTAGGTAACATATTTCGTAATCTTTCACGGCAAAGTGTGCTAGTCATTATATGACAAGAGTGGACCATAATCGCTACATATTAAATTATTAAAGTAACTGACAACATGCTCAAAATACGAAGACCTTTCCATTTAAACTACGTTCATAGTTATAAATTTCTTTTACATATAATCAAATGGAATGCAAATACAAAAATAAAGAACACACATAGGGAAATGTTGTTAAAGGAAGAAAAATGAAGAATATAAAAATCTCATTTATTACTTATAAACATATTAATTTATTGCCACCTATAAAACTAGTGACATACAATTGAAAAAAACTTTAAAGCAAATTCCTATCGAGCATATCTTATATTTTTCAGAGACACTGTTCATAACTGCATTTACTGAAGAAACAGCTAGAAAGTATTACAAAATACAGAAACTGTACGTCATAAATTTCGAATTCGCCGCATTTATAAGCATTTTTCTTTTGCTTTTTCAAATGGACGATACGGTTTCACCTGTTAATAAAATATTGTATAAACGCTGGCATTTTAATTCTATTTAAAAACTTGAAAAAGGCATGAACAACTAGTTTTAAAATATTACTTATATTTATAATTGTGATACAAGCAGAACGAGGAAATTCAATTACTATAGCATATCAGTCTGTGAAAACTGTATGAAGCAAAATGTGTCACAGTACAAACGAATGATTTTATTTATTATATACTTATAATTAAATAAATATTCAATGAGCTATGTCATTTGTGAATAGAACAAATAGAAAAAACACTTCTGTTGTATAGGATAATTATTTGCTTTGTAGATAAATGTAAAAGTTTCAAATAGACATAAGTTATTGTACAAATAAGAATGTAAACAGTAATATCACAGAAATGTAAAATGTGGGCTACATTTATGGAATGAAAACAAATATTAAATACAAGTTGTATACAAATAAAAATCTAAAAGATTATGATTTTGTTAATCTTAAGTAGTAAATTTATAAATAAAACGATATAAACGTGTATGTGTATACATAAATAATATAACATACTTATTTAGTATAATACAAACTTACACATTCTATACATTATATTATAGTACAGCCAATGTAATATACGTTTCCAGCGATATATTCAATTTACCTTTTGGTCATTCATAATTATTTTATTTATTTAGTGAACAAATTTGGATTTCGTCATATTTATAAACATAAATCCATATCTTGAATATATTTTATAATAATTTGTATATTTCGGTAGTACTCGCTTGTTAAATTATTTTCAGTCATCTAAAAAATTACAAACATTAAAACTGCAACTATATAAACAAAATTAATATTAATTTATAAATTGTAAAAAAATTACCGTTAAGTGGAGCATATCAAATGTTGCATCAGAAGGAATTTTTAATACTCTTGAATTAAAAATGCTAAGGCATTTCACCCAGGCAATGTCCCCATTATAATCGGCAATTTCCTTATATAATTGTAAGCAACATGCCTTGAAAAAGAAGTAATTAATGAAATAGGTATATAAGCAAAGGCATGTTTATGAATACATTCTATAATATAATTTACTTGTAACGTGGGATGCTGATTTTTACTGAGATAGGGCTCTGCAGAACACAAAACATTCCATGTTTCTCTTTCGAGAAGATTTAAATTTTTTGTGGTTTGACCTAATGTAGAAAGCAATTCTTTCTGTAATTTATAAGTCTGTGTAAATTTATAAATATTTGCGGAGCTCTTGTTATAACTTTCTTTAGCAGAACTAGCCAAGAACTTTGAAAGTGCTGGCAACACTTGCCTAAAAGAACAGTTAGTTTAATTATAGTTAAGTGAATGTATCCCATAGATTTGTTTTTCAAGGAAACTTACTTGAGCGTTCTCGATCGGATAAAATCTTTCGAGAGATAACCGAGAATGTTTAATAGTTGCCACGCTCGATTGATTATCAATACATTTTCATCGTGAAATCGATCTACTAATGGATGCCAAAGCAAATGTACAATAGGTAACAACTGATTTTCCCATTCTGCTAATATTTCGAGACCTTCTTGTAATGTGGACATTGCAATTAATGATTTTTGTATGTCCTTGGATGGTAAAAAATGTAAACAGTGTTTCATCACGTCTTCGATCATTTTTATATAAGACGGGACGTTTTGTTTTTGTTCTATAATTCACATTTTGTTTACAATAATTTTCTATCCTTCTCATTCTAATGTATATAATATATATTCTTACCTTCCTGCTCAGTAAAATCTATTTGATCCCCAGTTTCTCCTGCTTCCACTTTTTCTTCCTCGGATATATTTATGCTAGGATCTTCTTCTATCTCTTCATCGATTTTCTTTGCTTCATAATATTCCAACAGAGATTTAATAATTTTCGAAGATTCATTTTCAACAGTTTCATTTTGTTCTTGTATGATTGGTACACGTTTAGGATTTAATAATTTTTTTATACAAATTGTAAATGTGTAAAACACTTTTAAAAAAGCATAGGAGTTTTTCGTTTGAAAACTATTGTTCAGTTGTGAAAGTACATCTTCTACGATTTCTTTAAGGCAAGGCAACACATCCATTGTACTATACTTCATGACAACACCAACAACATCGAGTACACCAGGATTGCGTTCCACCCTACGCAATTTTATAGTTACATGATATGAAAAGTAATCAACATTTGCACGAAGTAGATCTCCCACTGAATTATATTTCAGGGATTTCGCGATATGTTCCAATGTCTGAGTTCCGGTAAAACTAATTATGCTATGCCCACTACCTAAAAATATACATACGAAAAATACGTAATTATCTTTGATAGAAATAGAAAAAATTACCTGCTCTTTCTATAACCAGATATAAAGTTTTGAGAAGAAATCTATCATAATCATGCTCCAAGGTTTGAGCTATTAATCCCAAGCCTTCTAACAATAAGCAACATTGCACTACATTGCTTTGAGCAATACGTAAAGGTACATCTTTGGTACTTTCAACTGCTGAATGCCATACTTCTGGATTTATATAAAACTCTACAACTTCCGTGTAAATTGACAAATATGAGGGATCTTTAACTGGAACTGAAATAGCTGTTAATAATATTATATTTCGTACATTGTTTTGATAAAAGTTATAGTTCCATGTACCATGTATAATCCAGTTGAGTAACAAGAATAATTCCTTTTTATGTTGTGGAACATCAAGTATGAGTCCAAGAATGGTATCTACTAAGATTCGAAGATCCCCAAATTTTCCGAGATATTTACATATCGCTACAACTTTCTCTTCACATGACTTGTTTTGAATGAATTTAAACCTTCTCCACAAATGTGATCCATATGAATATGCTGGATCTTCAAGATCCTTGACATTTATTACTTGTAGTAAGGAAATATTGCTGTAATCTATCTCAGATACATAAACAAGTGCCAATAATAATCTTCGTATATGTGGCGCAGACATCATAATCCGAGGCAATCTCTGTTCTCCAAGGAGTTTTAAATAACCGGCAATTTGATTTAAACACGATAATTGATCATTGTCATCTAAAAAATAAAGATATTTAATTTCGTTTATATATTAAAATGCACTATTACGAAATATATATATTATAGAAAATATAACAATCGTACCAGATCTCCTGATAATCCTAGGTAAACTTGTAAGCAAGTTATAAAAGTTTTCTTCCAATAATTCCACCAAAGGTCTCATATTCGTATTTTGCATGTAGCTTATGTTAATTTGATTTAGTGTTTTTTCAGCTTCCTCTCGAATTTCTGTAAATTCATCTTCAGATAGAGATATTAGGTACTCTATTAATAACATAACATTTGGTTTCATATTCCTGTTTAACAAATGTATACAATTTCACTTTAGAAATTGCTTATCATGTTTGGTAACAAATATAACAGCATTACCTAGAGCATGTTGTAAGCAGCAAATGAATGACTTCGACTAATTCCTTTCTAACTTTATGATGAGAATGCCGTTTTAACACATCCAACTGTTGCATAAGTACATTAAGCTTAATTGCACTAGCGTTAAACCATTCTTTCGTTCTTGTTGTACTTTTCAGATGTTTCTCGATTTCGTTACGATCTTTCGTATACGAGCTTTCTAATTGATTAGTGTGTTTGTCATTATTTACTTGAGTGAGAATACTTAATGACGGTGTATCATCTTCTAGTTTATCTTTCATAACAAGGGATATTATTCTACCCCAAGCTCTTAGTGCTACCTACAAGTTTATAGTAGAATTTAATTTTAACTAGAGATAGACTTGTAAATAAAGAAAAAAGGATTTTGAGATATTAACAATTGTCCATTACCATTGTAAGTTTGTGTCCTTGTATTTCACATCCCATAGCTATTTCTTGTAAGCCACTAACAATGCCAGGTAAAAATAACATAATAACATCGGCTATTTGATCTTGTAGGATAATATCAGATCTATCTGCTTCATCATCCACTTGGCATAAAGCCATTACTGCTTCTACTGCTTTCAATCTAAAAAATTGCAAGAAAGCAATTACACATATCTAAATTAATTAACTGGTCAGTATGGTAGAATTTAACCCATATTATATTTGCCTAAGGGAACGTGATTTTTCAGTTCTGCCTATTGTTAAAGACAATAATATTCCTTGACCTATTTTTGATGCATTATCTCTGATATATAATGATTCCGTAACTTCTGTAAAACAGGAGTGCATCAAAGTTTTAATGCATGAGAGTACTGCTTCTTTTAATTCTTCATGACCTGTGATAACTGTAGAAATCATGTGTATTATATATTATATTATGTTGTATGGTCAAATAATATGTATGCTTACCCATACTTTGTTGGGTTCTGTCATAAATTTGTATCAAAAGACACGAATACAATTTATTGAAATATTCTAGGTTTGATATTTTTGCTCTTGATATGATTGCCTGCGTTGTTTTTACCAGTTCTTCTTTTGTGCCTTTACTGTAAGATTGCAAACACACGAAAAAACATATTGTTTAGAGTAAAATAAAAACCTGACAATTGTTAGATTGAAGTAACAAATGTAAGGTTATGTGTATTCAATATTTCTTTAGAAATAAACATACAAAGTAATTACCTCAAACTTTCATTCGGTAAATGCGTAATTAAAGGAAACAAAATATATTCAAACAAATCTTGAACAACTTTATTCGAAATTTTTGTTACGACATTAGCAACATTTCGTGCAGTATCAACATTTGGATTTTTCATTAAAGAATCGCAAAGTGGCTTTAACACAGTAAATGCCTCCTGTATTTGATAACGTTCCATTTTTTGTGTAACAGAGAAAATATACGAAACAATTAAAGTTCTTGAACGACTTCAACAATGTCCATTGATGTGCATTTTATAACCTTACATTTGAAAACATTGAATATATGAGTTTTAAGTTTATTTTACGGAACCTCAATTACAGAAAGCATTACAGATTTGGGGTGATAGGTATATAATAATTTGTATTATTTACAAAATAAATATCTCAATTCTTGACATATGTTTATTTCTTATTTTTACTGATCACGTTCTGCGACCAGATTTATCGACTGAATATAAAAATGAATATTTAAGAATCCTAACTCTGATAGACATATTTTACCGATGCTTTAATTTAATAATCTCGTTCCTACTGTTTTACAATTAATAAATGTTATAACATTAGTCGTATTGTTCCAAAAGTAGGATATTCATACTCATAAACATATTCATTTACATAAACATAGACAAGAGTAATAATAATTGCGTTTTATAATATTCAAGATATTTTTTATAATATATTTTTTATAGTATTCGAAAGTTAAGATATCGATTCATATAGATTGGTTACATACATCTATATATATCATACATATCGATATTTTTCACTTTCCAGTATCAATTTCCATTCAAAAAGCCCGCTAATGGTATTGAGAAGTGACAACCAATCATGTTTAACGTTTCTTTCCAACTTTTAAATACTCAATTTTCATTGGTCGAGGACCCGCAACTCACTGCACAGAAGCACGAAGGAATGTCGCGTTTGTAAATTATTTTTTTAAATTTTCTTTCTAACATTTCTCGATACCGGTAATAAGAGTCAGTGAACTGAAGAGGAGTGTTAAGCGGTGCTCAACCAATGAGTAATGTAAGTATCTACGTACTCTTTCTTTTATTAGCTTTGCTGTAGTTTAATTGAAATTATTAAAGTGACTGATTGACAATATGTTGATATAATTATGCTCTCTATAATTATATCTAATATATTGGTTTTCTGTTTTGCATTCTTTTCTATTGAAATTGATATCCCTATAATTACGACGATTGAAACTGATGACTAATTTTGTACTATTTTACAGATTTTTTACAGTTGATCGAATCATTCGACAGTTCAACTGAGGTACTACAACGATCGTCAGGATGCAGAGCCTCTACTAATATCAAAAATTGACTTTCAAGAATTAGGACTAATAGTGGTGTATCGACTGTGTATTCGGTAGTAGTTAGTTTCAATTAGCTTACGCTTCAGTACGTATGATGGCGACACTAACTCGCTTACCGACTGAAATATCCATAGTGTTGAAGACTACTAGCGCCGGTACCGACGAATACTGGGTATTACATTTGATAAACATTTGTGTTTGAACCTCCTGGCACGTGTTAGAAGAAAATGGCGAAGTGTTTGAATGTAGCAGAGGGATTTACCCTGAGGTACATAAAATTAAATAAATTATGTAACAAGGTATGACGGTTAAAAGAACATAGATTATATCGAATTATTTGCTTCAGCGATTTAACTCAACAAGATGGGGTTGTTTTTGAAATAGGCGACTATCAGGATATGGATGATGAAGAATTTTCTTATTCATCAACGGTTCCTTTAACGAATGATGAAATAATAAACCTGTTAAATTTAGATGATTTTCCAGACGACGATGACGATAACGGCAATGATGAGACTAGTACAGATAACTCTATTATGCTTTGTAATGTAAGCTTTGAAAAGTTAAAGGCAAGAATGACTGACATTCTTGGAAATGGGAAGGTAAATGCTATTTTATTACAGATGTCTATAAATTCTTTTACTTTTGATAGGATAGTATATTTTTTTTTATATTATGTGTAGATTATGAAGTTAGTGAAACAGAAAGGTGTTGGACCAATCGTACCTAGCGATGCACAAGTTACTATAAAATATGTGGGTCATTTTGAGTACACAGATGAACCATTTGATTCTAGTTTTGCACGTGGAAGAGCAGATACATATCGTCTCAATCAGGGCATGTTAATACCCGGTTTAGAGATGGCTATATCATCTATGCAAAAACATGAAATAGCTGTATTTATCGTACATCCTGATTTAGCATATGGGAAATTTGGTTGCGCTCCTCGTATTCCTCCAAATGTAGAAATTTTGTTCATTGTTCATTTGGTCGATTATCTGGACAATGGATGTGCAGATACTATGAAAACTATGTCCATGGAAGATAGAAAAGTATTTGCTAATGTTGTTAAACAGGTTAAAGCTAAGTTTAATACTGCTAAGAATAACTTCAAGATGTCCAAAGTCAAACAAGCGATACGAGAGTAAGTCTTTTGAGTGTAATGTATTTGCATAAGTTAACGCTACAATTATGACAATGTATTATCAGATATAGTAGAGGAGTTCAATGGTTGGAAATGGCAGAATTAAAAGATCAGGCGGAGGAAGACGAATTCAAGAGGTTACTTTCAAGAGGGTACAATAATCTTGCAGTTTGTTACAATATAGAAAATATGCCGCGTCGTGTTTGCAACGCGTGTAATAGAGTACCATTACCATCTGCTAAAACTCACTTTAAGTATGTTAAGCTAAATCATCATCGGCATATTACGAATATCTATGTATATATAAGAACACTTTATACTTTGATTCAGTTTTGGTCGAGCATTATTAAAAATGGGAGAGTACGATAGAGCAATGGAAAAATTGCAAATGTCGCTTAAACTAGAACCTAAGAACGCAGTAACTATTATGGAAATTAAATTGGTAAATATTAAGCTACAGAGTACAAGCTGTTATCATGTGGAAGACGGTTTACTCTACTTGTTAATTTTAGGTAAATGAAAAACAAAGAAAGTACTTGGAAATGGAGAAGCAACTTTGGAAAAATTGTTTAAAAACTGATCAAAAAGAGATAAAAACTTCTGCTTTTCGGAGAGTAGTGCACGATATGTGCGAGGCATTCAAGCAAGACAATCAGTTAAGACTACCGCTTCCAGAAGCACTAACGCCCGAGGAAGATGCATGCGTACGCGAGGAAGCTGCTGCATTTGGTCTCTCGGTTACCACGCACCAAAGATACGGCAGAGAAATAACGTATCTTAACAAATCTAATTACTAAAGTTACTAGGGTAGTTGGAAGATCAGTATTATGTTTACAATGAAATGTATAAAAATACGTTATACGCATTTATATTTTTAAAAGAAAAAGAAATACACGGGGCAAAAATTGTCTTCATTTTCGCCATTTTTAGTTCCGTAGGGTCATAGGAAGCTTAGGATGATTTTCATATTTTTTATTGGATCAAAGACTTCAAAAAAGCAGAAGAAATTTAATTCATACATAGTTTCTTTTTTAAACTTGGAAGTTTATCGTAGTAACTACAAGATAAAAGAGGTATCAAATAGAATGTATAAAGAGTTCTTGATCGTGACGAAATTTATCGCGAATTTGTGTTGTTCGTAAATATCAGCAAAAGTTTATATAAAATTGTTTAAGCGTTTCCATCGGCGGTAGACGCATCTTCTGAAGGAGGCTTTTCGATCTCACTTCCAAATCGTACCCTATATTTTCGTCTCACGATATCCCAGTCGACAATATTTTCAATTCTCGTTGAATCCTTTAAAGATAATTGACTTTCCAATGGACTCGTACGAAGTAATGGAAAATGAATGGCGTCGCATTGTTGAGGTGATATTCCATTGTCCTACGCAAAACGAAAATATTTGTCGATACCTCAAGGTCAATTCAATTTCAATATTTTTGTACGTACCTGAATAAACGAACGTCCTGTAAATAGGCGCATCACTCCCGGTTTACGTCCCTCGTTTCGTATTTTGCATGGTTTTCCAAGATACGCGATCCAGGAAGTAACGAGGTTTAGAGGTGAAGGCGCAGTTTGTGTTCTTGAAAAGTTAGGTGTGCCAAGTTTTGTTACTTACTGTAGATCGTTGCGTTGTACAAATTGTATAAACCTTTCCTGCCTTTGTCTTTTTTTTTTTTTTTTTTTTTTTGTAGTCTGTTCGCGACGAGGATACAGCAGAGTCTTGATAATTTGTGGTAAACAAGACCGAGGAGGGTTCGAATTATTGTTAATTTAAATACTCCTAGTTACGCTTCAACGTGTACGTATTTTATTTTGTTTACGATGCCAACTCTATAGAGTATTCTGAACACTTGGAAATTTGTCTTCAAATTAAGCGGTTACAAACTATCGAGACCCCACTGTATGAGTACTCTTCGCGGTTCACTTACTTTTGCATCTTACGAATGAGTTTGCTGAGCCCGTACTTCCACTCGATGTCGCTCTGAGATTGAATATTTTGGTACGTGTCGGACATCATCGCGATCAACAGATTGATGAGTACTATGACGCTAACCAACATGTACAGAGAGAAAGATACCTGCCGGAACAGTACCAGGAGATCATTGATCGCGAATCGGTGAACTGTAAACAGTGCTAGATCGGGCGCTACCAGTGAACGTTGACCTGACCTTAAATAAATATATTGTCCAGCTCGGTTGCATCTTTCGTTTTAACGATACCATGAAGTCGTCCGAGTCCTTCTGGCCGAAAATAGCGAAGAAAAGATTTTCCGTGATATCGATGGGACTCACTTTCACTGGAAGAACGTAATCAAGCGTCTAAGTTGGCTAACGTAACCGTAAAAGAACGCAAAGATCGTTTCTAGATTGCGTTCAGTTAGTGCTGTCGACCCAGAGCTGGTAAAAAATACAGTGAAGCCTCAATTAATATCAGCTGTAAAATCTGCAACAATTTATACAAGATACAAATAATTAAAATCAAATTGTTCAGCTCTGAGTCGAAAGAAAGAAATATGCGCACCATGATATGCGGCGCATGCGATGGAGATGAAAAGGAAAACCAAAGGAGAATGGGGATGATCTGTGTATTAGGAGAGGAAGCATGATTGTGGATGATCGCTGATGAATTTCGAACGTTTCAAACGGCTTATGAGTGACAGTCGAATCGGCATCGATGATATCGAAATTCAAGATATCGTGAGTGAACGATGTAGAATGCGTGTTCTGATCGATAGGAAGCTGATCGTTCGGCGGACGGTTGTTACAACAATTTCACGAGTCAAGTACTGCGAGTATCCGTTCAATTTCGTTAAGTTTGCAAGCGTCGTGATGGTCGAGCTAGCAGCCATGCATGCATGCGTTCAGTCTGAATTGTTCGTTCGTTGATAAATTGAAGAATTATGGTTGATACCAACCGAGGCTTCCAAGTGTAAGCCGTGTCCTTTGGATAAGACATTCCGAAGTTTCGACAGCATCGAAGCTAGGTTCATTGACTATTTATTGTTTAGAATAAACCACGCTCAATATTAGCGTGTTATTTGTCCCATAAAGAAGTCAGTTGCAAAGAATACAGTTGACACTCGAAAGCCACAAAGAATCGAGCCTTGAAAGGCCCAAATATCTTAGATTAAGGAGTCATGTTTTCGGTTCAGTGGTGAGACATTCAAACAGCAGACAGTACGTGACATGGTGCACAGAGACTAACCATTGAAGGTATCGTTAGGTTCTTACGCAGAAGGTCATTTCCTCCTCGGGATTCGTGTCTAAAACGTGGCTGAAACGATAATCATGTTACATCGTGGCGCGAGTAGGGTTGAAAGGTCCGCGCTTAACGGAAGAACCACAAAACGATCCGATCGATTTGGTCGTTTATTTTTGATAAGAAAGATCGTACGAGACGAGAGAGTGTACATGTCAATGTTGAAAAACAGTGGTAAAATTGGCCGTCTCTTGTTTCGAAACATCGATCGTTGAAATCGATCGTATCGATCGATTCAGGGAAAGGTGGCAGCCGCTGGCTGGTTTCCGGTGGGTACAACGACCAACGAGTTCTCCAGGGTCGCCGATAGAGGATCGGGTTCCGTGGACTCTTTCGATTCTTCGACATGTTTTTCGATATGTTCACCGTAGAGATCTCGGTACTTTCGTCTGACCGCTTCCCAATCAACGACGTTGTCGATTCTGACGGCGTTACTGAACGACAGCTGACTACCAAGAGGGCTCAGGTGAACGACCGATAGGGCGACGCTGTCCTTATGGCCCACCTGAGTCTTTTTCACCTTGGACAGCCACTTGGCGCCCATTCTTGAACGCGGGGATAGCGCGTCGGTTCTCTGTAATCCCATCAAGCGGACGAGGGACGGTCGTTGTTTATTCGCAGCGCGTTTCTTGCATAGCTTGTACAAATATGACAACCAGGTGGTCAGTAGATTCAGCGGCGATGGCGCTGTGCTTGTCCTGCGCATCGATAAACGTGCCCGATCAATTAGAATTTTAACGGGGAATCGAAACGAACCGAATCAGTCGAACGAATGGACGACTCGTGTTCATAAATGCGCTGTCATGCAACGTTCGTTACGAATACGAGTCATTTGTAGTTAGGTGTTTTCAGTTCCGAGCAGGGCCGATTTCAGAGACCTAAGTCGCTTACGGGCGGTATCTCGATGAAACAGACAAATTTTATCAACTACATGAAACAAGGTGTCCCTAAGTAGGTGGTACAGCTGAGGAAGAAGCGATTCTAGGATTGCCATATTTACACGAGACAAAGCCTGGTTCTAGTGTTAGGTCGAAGACATCTCTCACTGTTAGCGGAGTATCGAACACGCGGCATAGAACTGTTTTTCGAATTGGATATGCAGATTTCTAAAATTTATGAATTTATATTGGCGTACGTAAATCATAGGGAAATTTGTATAAAGCAAATATACATAAATATGGTATGTGGCATTTGCTTGATCAGATTTCAGTGTTATTTTGTTTTTTTGTAATGACCACAGATAGCACTGCACATCGTAGACATGTATTGCCGTCTTATCAGCTCGTTGATATTTCGAAAGATTAAAAAAGAACAAAATTAAATTGTACACGGTAAACAACGATGTAGCATTTTTAGTATTTAAAAAGCTTGACGCAAAATTTTGAAGATTTGTTATCGTAATTAATCATCCAGATTAACACTCTTGACAATTTTTCAGTTAATCTGCGAAAAAATCAAAGACTCGATATGGCGGCTTTGCAGACTCAGCGTTCAAGGTTCAGCATCGGAGGTTCATATCTTGTACGTAAGTTTCGAGAGGCTCAACCTTTGAAATCGATCCTTAAAGCTTCAGGAGGTCAGCCTTAAAGGTTCGAAGACTGAAGCATCGTACAACGCTACTTACGCTTATCGACTGAAACCGGCCCTGGTGGCGAGCAACGATTATAGGTCCCTCTTACCTGTGCATATTCCTAACGAGCTTACTCAATCCGTACTTCCACTCGATGTCGGACTGAGCTTGTATCCGTTGGTAAGTGTCGCTCATCATGGCGATTAGCAGATTAATCAGCACGACCACCGAAACCAGCATATAAATACCGAAGGTGAGCTTGAAGAGAACTCTGGTCCAATCGGGCTGCGTTAATTCGACCTTGAATTGTTCGTGGGTCGTCTGACCGAAGATGGCGAAGAACAATAACTCAACGGCCAATACGGGACTCATCCTGACTGGAAATACGTGGGAACGATATGTCTCGTGAAAAGTCTGCTGTACCGCGCCGGGTTCTTTGTTATTCAATCTTGTCTGTATGTACGTACGTTTATGTTTGTATAGACATATATGTTGCGTATGTATCGTATGCATGTTTAAGTACGTGCGTGTTGTACGTTGGCCTCGAGCTTCCTCGAGGCTGCGTGTCGCTAATGAGTAATCGCTTGAACGCGAGGGAACGCGAGTCCTTCTAAGGTCTTAAATTAAGGGACGCGTTTGCGACACTTGGAAACTCATGGCCCGGAATTTCGCTTTTGTTTCTGCTACGGGGAAGCGTGAGACGTTTCGCGGAGGAACAGCTATCGGCGAGTATTGGCGCGCAGTCCAAGATCAAAGTACTATGCCCGAGTCAACGTCGAACGCGCGATAATAATTCGCGTTAACGCTGTGTTTCGTCTTTGCGACACTACTTACGTAAATCTCGAAAAAAGTTGCTCGACTGTATCTCGCTCAAAGATCGTTGAGCACAAAGTGGTCACGAGTCCCGCTACGAGACGTTATCTAGGATGCTGTCTCGATGCCGTGGCTGTGTATTTCGACGCGCGAGGAGTGTGTTGTCTGTACGTCATCGCGTTCGTTATTTATAATTCGCGAGTATGCGACGACGGTTGGAATTCATTTCGTTTATTGTTTCCGAGGCGAGGAACAGGGTTCCTTTAGACAGGTGGGGTCGAAGTCGTCGAGGCCGTCGGCCCGTTCTCCTCCTCGTTCTCGTTGTCCTCGTCCTTCTCGTCTTTGTCCGCTTCTTTCTCAGGCTCGTTTCCGGTCAGGACCAAGTATTTCTTTCTGATCGAATCCCAGTCGACCACGCTTTCGATTCTCGTCGCGCTATTGAAGGATAGCTGGCTACCGAGAGGGCTCAAGTGCACCACGGACAACGCCACGCTGTCTTTCGGCCTGACTTGACCCTTTTTCACTTTCGCCAACCATTTCGCGCCCATCTTCGATCTCGGCGAGAGACGACCGGCCCGCTGGAGTCCCATCATGTGCACCAGCGAGGGGCGCTTACGTTTCGCGGCGCGTTGCTTGCACACCTTGATGAAGTACACGATCCAAGTAGTGAGCAAGTTAAGGGGCGACGGGGCTGTGGTTGTTCTGCAACACGGAATCGCGTGTCCAGGCTCTATTCCTCTGTGATTCGCTTTTTTTTTTTAGAGAGGATCTACGTCACGAGACACGCGGCGCGAATTGGCGAAAACGGGACCAGTAGCGGACGTATTTCGTCGGTGAACTCAGGCTTCCGGTTCGCCCGCGGAAGCGGATTAGAATATTGCAGTCGGGTAGGAGTTTGAATTCCGTGCAAGCGCGGCTTACCTGTGCATATTTCGGATCAGTTTACTGAGCCCGTATTTCCACTCAATGTCCGATTGCGCCTGTATCCGTTGGTAGGTGTCGCTCATCATGGCAATCAGCAGATTAATTAATACGACTACCGAGACCAACATGTATACGCCGAATGCCAACTTGAACAGGACCGAGGTCCACTGCGGCTGATCAGTCTCGACCTTCAGCTCGCCGTGGGTCGTTTGGCCAAAGACAGCGAAGAACAGGTACTCGAAGGCGAGTACCGGATTCATCTTTACTGGAATTCGAGGCACACACACATATGTTTCTTGATTTTCGTCTTTTGTTCGCGCTTTCTCACGTGACTGCTTGTTGTTGCTTCGTGCCGTTTAGACAGGCTTGGCTACTGTGGTACTCGCTATGTATGGATGCGGGTGGTGTATTCATAACGTACATTAGAAGTAAACGAACGATCGAACGATGAACGTACTGAACGAACATGCTCATGCTAATACAGAGACTGGCCATGCTTGCGAATAACGTTGAATGCATGCCGGACGTTCCGTGAGCTTTCGACATATATATATATAAATATTTATATATATTTATATCCACGTCGTCTAAACTTGTTATATACTTCTATTATTATTAGTAGTAGTATTATTACCATTGTTATCTGTGTGTTCGTTTTCATTCTCGTTTCACCGCGACGAGCAACTTCGCGGAATGCATCGAGGATCTACAAAAGCCGAGTGTTTGTGTATGTGTGTGTGTGTGTGTGTGTATATATATATATATATATATATGTTTATCGATTGATCCGGATCTCTTCTGTACCACGGGTTCTCCGGAACTCGCAACGATAATTGCATTCGTTTGCTCTGGACGATGAGATGCAGCATGCAAACGACGAACCGTTTGTCTTCTCTCGCTCTCGCGCGCGTTCACTTTCCTCGATATTCTCTCGCTCCCTTGTTTCTTCTCGAGCGTTCGGAGACGAATTGTTCGCGACGAATCGCGGTTACGAACTCAGGAACAGAACTATTTACCGTGCTCATGCAAGGACAAGAACATCGGACGCTTCGCTGCTTCCCGAGAGATCGCCGCGTCGAAAAAACACGCAAAGCGACCGCGTGTCGGTGGAAACGGGACTCCAAGGGAGGAAGGATGACGCAGGGTCGGAGAAAATGAGTCAAGGGTGACATCCGGACGGGCCGTCGCTACCAAGGTCCATGATCGACTTGGCCGTTAAGTGATACACAAATACACGCATTGCGCAAGACCCGAACAGCACGAGAAAAACAACATTGCTCTTGTACAATACAATGTATGTATGTTTATATAAATGCAAACGATGCACAACAGAGGCTGTGGAGAAACGCGCGCTCGATTGGCGCCTCCGTGAGATAAGAAACAAGCCGGCAGTGGTCGCCTCAACCCCCTCGGTGGGTACGCTGTGATCTCGAGATCGGAAACGAGATCGAGATCGAGCCGTGGACCATCGAGTAGCTGCGATTCGAGCTCGCGACCGAGCGTTCGTTGGGCAATCTGATGGAAGATTCGGGGCGAGATGGATCAGGGGATGTTTCTTCGTCGCGAAGCCCGAATCGCGGCGCGGGTTACGGCGCGTAGTGAGAAACATTTCTCGCGACGTTGCAGATGTATATATATTTATGTTGATTGGAATCAGGCAGCAGTCCCAGCAGGCAACACACATCGGGCGAACGCACAATGCAGACGATACGACACCAAGAAGAATCGTGTCCTGCATTCCGTTGTGCACGTGCCATTTTGCCATTCATTTCGCGTTCCGTTCCGGTTGCGGGTCTCGTTTAGACGTTCCCTTTCGGCAAAACTTACTATCTCGGGAGCTATCGTCACAACACTCATTCTTTTTCTTGTAGCGGCCCTGGCGACGAGGAGGCGCCGTCGACGGCGTCTCCATCATCCATTCCGTAACATTGGCCAAAAAATCTATCATTGTAATTTTACACCGATTATGTGTTTGTCTCGAGGTAACGAGGCTTTTGCTATGTTTTTAGTTTTGGGACAGTGACGGGATTCTTGGTCCACCGTCGAAAGGTCATGTCTCTATCGTCGGTGGTCTGCTTTTCGGGTCACAGCGATACCAAACTATAATACCGATCTCATGATATATCGAGTTTGAGCGATTCTACATCGAGTTTATCATCGTACGACCATATGCCGCTCACGTTCGAAACTCGTTCAAAGGCGCCGCGATGGATAAGAGGAACCTTCGACTGGCAAGGTGAATACGGGTACGTTACGTGTACGAGTTATGCTCGGACCGTTCGAGTGCTTTCGAATATTCGATGCGGGTTTTCCGAACGAGGAGAGGTGTTCAGTACGCGTGCTCTTACGGCAAACCGCAGGCTGCGATTCGAACACGCGTACAAGCCGTGCCTCGGAGACGTATTCGTGTACTCGCGCGAGAATCGCATGTTTACAGCCCCATCGAGCGGGGACTGCTGATTTTGTTCTTTTTTTCTTTTTTTCTTTTCGTGACTGCGATCGTATCCGAGGAATAAGATAGGGGTAAAAATCAGGAGGCCAATTCTCTCTCCACCTCTTTCTCTCCCTCTCTCACTCTCCTGAAATCTAACGTATCACGTGCTTTGTCAGACTTACCGTCGCGGAAGAGGGGCCCTCCCTTCTTCTTTTTGTCCTCGATAAGAGCCTCTTGAACCGACTGGTTCCTGAAGGCTTGGTTCAGCGCGACGAAGTGCATCGAGAATCCAAACACGAAGATGGCTAACACCGCGAGGAACCGCGCGAGATCCTTCATCAAGTTGCCAATGATGATCGCCCACGGTCCAAACAGGTGGTGGAACGAGAGAAAATCGAGGATCTGCACGCAGGCCAGGAGGAAACTTAAGGCGAATAGTTGGTTCCTGAGGTAGAGCAGAGTCGGCCAGTATGGTCGATGAACTATCACGAAGCCCATCAGATGAAACGCCACGCCGAATATACCGAAGAGCAGCACCGCCAACTTGATCCATCCGAGGCCGCTCTTGTCGCTGGGGTTGGTCAGCTCGAAGAGCAACAGACCCGACAGCATCACGAGCAGACACCATTCGTACCAGTACGGCCTGAGGCTCGGTCTCACCACCGGGTATATAGGAATTATGCCGACCAGCAAAAGGAAGATCATCAGATAAATGTGAGACGTGAGGTACGACATGAACTTAATGATGGGTACGTTGTTGTACTTGTGTCCGAGAGGTAGAGCGAACACCATCCAGACTGGCGGACAGACGACGAACGCGATAAACAAGAGAATCGTCCTGAAGGCGTTCCAGTTCAGGCTGCCCTGCCACAGCTCTTGCAGGTACCGTTGCACCACCGTGTGCGCGATCACCTCCTTCTGCTCGTTCTCGATCAGAACGTCCAGAAATTCCACGTTCCTGCGGTCCATCGACGTGAGGATCCTCCCAGCCGAGTCCGCGCCCGCGGCCAGGGCCAACAGTTCCGTGGCCATCGCCTCGCACTGTTTCCCAGCTGCTATCAAATCCTTCGCCCTCTCCTTCTCTTTCTCCGACAGCTTCATGTAGATATTGGAGAGCTTCGCCGCCGTGTCTACCGGTGCCGGTGACACCAGCACGAACTCCTCGATCGGTTTGTTGTTGTTGCTCTTACTGCAGACCATCATGTTATAGACGAACTGAAAGACCAACGAGCTTGATCGATCGAATCCGTCACGAATACCGTTTAACGACGATAGGACGAGGCCCGGGGGAGGGGCAAAAGGATCGGAGCATCGCGTGCAAGCTATCTAACGTTGGCGCTTGCCGAAATTTATTGGCTCGACCGAGTGATCATTGTTCGCGTTAAAAGTTTCGGAAATTCCCTGCGCCAATTGTGGTCGAAGTTGGAGCTTTCGAAGGAGAGAAAGGAGTTGAAAAAGTTGTAGAATCGCGAGCGTTGCGGCTTACCCTCTTATCGTCCATCAGGGCGTACGTATCGTGCTCCTTCTCCATGAGATACTTGAGCACGTCGTTGTGACCCTCCGAGGCGGCGAACCAGATCGGCGCGCATCCCAGATTGGTCTCGCTCTTCGGCGAAGCCCCGCTTTCGACCAGCAATTTAACAACATCGAGATAACCAGCTCGAGCGGCGCAGTGCAACGGCGTCCAGCCGTTTTTGTCGGTGGCGTTTATTTCCGCCCCTTGACCGAGGAGGACCTCGACCATCTGATAGTGACCGTGGGTCGCAGCTATGTGAAGACCAGTTTTCCCGTAGCGATCGGAGCTGTGCAGCAGTTCCGCCGATCTGCTGAGGAGTAGGCCTACTACAGTGATGTGTCCACCGAAACAGGCCAAGTGAAGAGGGTTGAAACCATTCTCCGTCGTCGCTGCCTCCACCTGTAGGCAACGAGCTTGCGTTAGATCCATTCTTCAGGGGGACACAATTTTCGTGCAACGTTATTTCCGATACCAAGACACCAGCAGAGTTCAGCAGCAGTCGCACGACGTTCTCGTTCCCGGAATAAGCAGCTAGATGCAACGGCGTCATGCCAGATTCGGATCCCAACTCTCCTACGAGGGATCCACCGGTCGGAGGATCCGATTTCACTGTTCCTGGTACGTGGGTCAGCAACTCTCGAACGGTGTCTGAATGTGACAAGATGTTGGCGTAACAAGGTTAAAATAATACATCATCGCTATAATACCAAAGTAAAAGCAAAAGGCGCCTACCAGCTTGACCGAAGTAAGCAGCGACGTGAAGAGCGGTAACGCCGAGTTTCTTGCTGGATATGCGAAGAGACACCGAGGACCTCATGACTTCCAGTACCTGACCATGTCCATACTTGGCTGCCAAGTGCACAGCTGTGAATCCCGCTTGGTTCTCGTCGGCGCAGGATGCTCCAGCCCTGACCAAAGCTTTGACGACTTCCGCGTGTCCTCCCTCAGCTGCCAACTGAAGAGGCGTCGCGTCTGTAAGTTTGTTCCTCGCTGAGATGACACCTTGGCGGTCAAACTTCATCAATTCCTCGATCACTCGAACGCTCCCCTGCATGGCTGCTATATGTGCGCAGGTGTTGCCGTCTTTGGTGCACGCCATCACTAAGCTTGGATGCCTCTGCAGGAACAGCTGAGCCACTTCAGCGTAGTTGTTCATCGCTGCAGCGTGAATCGGCTTCTGACCTTGGTCGTCGGTCGCGTCTATACTCGCCCCAAGCTCTAGCAGGAGCTTGCACACCTCCAGTTGACCTGCACCGGCAGCCAAGTGCAACGGTGTCTGTTTCTTCAACGTGAGAACGTCTATCGCGGCCCCATGGTCCTGGATGAGGAACTTGACGAGGTGAGAGTAGCCGTTCATTGCTGCCAAGTGCAACGCGGTTCTACCGACTCTAGACTTGGAGTTGATGAACGCTTTATTAGCCAGGAGCGCGTCGCAAACTTGAAGATAGCCATGCTCGGCGGCCAAATGAAGAGCAGACCGTCCATCTTGGTCGAACACGTCCACTCTCGCGTGATTTGCCAGTAGCGTGGTAACCAGTTCCATATGGCCGCGATGCGCAGCGATCAACAACGGTGTCCAGCCAACTGAGCTCTGACGGTTCAAGGCCTTTTGCACCTCGGTAGCCGACATGCCGCTTATCATCTCTGACAGAACTTCGTTGTTTCCAGCCAACGCGCAATAATGGAAAGCCGACTCCTGGGCCTGCTTCGTTTGCAACGACACGTCTGCTCCACCCTCGAGGAGAGCTCGAACGACCGCGCGATCGCTGCCAGGTATCCAGACTTCCGTTGGTTCGATCTGAGCGGCGTAATGTAGTGCGCTGGCTCCCTCGTTTGTCACGCTGTTGACGTACGCGGTCGCAGTTTCCGGCCCCTTTCTCTCCTTCACGAACTGGATCAAGTGCCGCACCACGTCTGCTTTGCACCCTCTACAGGCCAAGTGCAGAGGCGTCTCTCCATTCTGTGGAAGGAAGACGTTTGATACGGAACAGGAGGTAAGAGAGAAGTAAACAGTACCTTGGACTTGTACAGAGGATCTCCACCGTCTTCGAGGAGCAGCAACAACGTCGCCAAGTTCCCGTGACTGGCTGCCACATGCACAGGCGTCTGGCCGTCGTCTGTGGTTAGATTCGGACCTGCTCCTGATTTCAGCAACATCAACGCGCATCTATCCCCGTCTGGAACTCTGGCTGCGATATGAAGCGGAGTTTCTCGAAGCTTTCCACCTCGAACGTGAACCTCGGCACCGTATCCTAGCAAAGTCTCGACCACCGCAGGCTTTGCGTTCTCCACGGCAATGTGCAGCGCTGTATAATTATCGTTGGTTGTCGCGTCCACCTGCGTGGCGAAAACGCGATAAGTTGACCCGTTCTAGATTCCCTAGTGCGTTCGAAATAGTCGACTTACCTTCTCCCCGCGCTGCAACAGCGTACTTATGATTCCAACATGGCCGTACTTGGCCGCCGTGTGGATCGACCTGGCGCCCCGTTTGTTGGGCATGTGTAAATACACTCCCTTCTTGAAGAGCATCGTCGCGCACTCGGAATGGCCGTTCAACGACGCTATGTGCATCAACGTGGACCCGTCCTTTGTTCTCTCGAATATACTGGCTTTGAACTTATCGGCCAGCAATTCGATTATGGAAGCGTGTCCGTTCTCCGCCGCGAGATGCATGGGAGTTCGATCCTGGTGATCCGTGATGGACGCTGAAGCTCTCACCCCGTAAAAATACTTGACGAGGGTCTCATCACCCTCCGCGCTTGCTATGTGCAGAGCAGTTTGTCCGTCGCCCTGAAAAGAGGGATACCTCTTCGGTCGAGATCTTTTCTCGTCTCTGGAGATCCACGAGTGATATGTTTTCATACGTTTTGCATGTCCACAGTCGCTCCGTAGTCCACCAATATCCGCACCATGTCGATGTCTCTTCGTCTGGCCGCCAGATGAAGCGCCGAATCTCCTGTAGGAGTAGTGGCCCGTAACTGGTCAGGCGCCTGTTGAGCCAGCAGCTCCCTACACATCGACTGGTTCCCAGCCTCCACCGCCAGGAGCAGAGGAATCTTTCCTTTCTGTAGCATATCACAAACTTCATTCTCGCAAGCTGTCTCGACATCAGGTGACAAACATCAACCCCCTCGCGAGATCGATTCGCGTAAAGACAGAAAGAACGTATCCGTCTCGCGATGTCCATAAATAGCCACATTCGTATCTAGGAAGACGTTAGTATCGACGTTGGCAAGCCTCTCCCTCCCCAAATTGCGGAGACTTTGGTCGTTTACGAGACAAAGAACGAGCACATCGTCTAGTTTGTACGTGTGTGCGCGCGAGTAAGAAAGGGAAACGGATGGAAATGGGTAGGCGGGAAGCAGAAGAAGACGAAGAAGCGCACGAGTGGAGAATTATGACAGCTGTTCGGTACCAGGCAGGGATATTCCCGAGGCATCATTCGCGGCACGCGAGAAACGTGGACGAGAATCGGGAGCATTGCGCGATATAAATCACACAAAAAAAAGTGTTAACTCGATTGCGAGTGACCTTACGTAGGGTATGTGGAACATTGGCGAGAAAATTGTGGACGTATTCCACGAGCATATGTACTTACCCCGTCGACTTTCAGTCGGATGTCTCGGCCGGCGGCGCCCAATAACGCGCGAAGAATCGACGTCGCGGTGCCCGTTTGTCTTGACGCGACCAGGTGCACGGCGGTTTGTTGCCTGGGCTGCGCTCCAACATTTTAGAAACATTTATGTTTTAGGAATGTCGAAGTCAATATTACCAAACTGAGAGTAGCGAGAAGTCGGCAAGTTTGAATGAAAGAAAAACGAATGGATGCAAGGAACAGGGTTACAAGATAACCTTATTAAAATTTAATGTCATTTTGTTTTCCATGTATCAACGATAAAATTGACGGAGGTCAGTTCAGAGATGGCAGTTCAAGAACATGGCCATGATTAAATAATGGATTGTATGCATTTGTGTTCGAGAATTTATTTAAATCGCTATTTTTTCATCTGAATCTGTAAAAATATGAATCAGTATAAACATTCTCTAATTACTAGATTAATTAATATGATATATATAATCGTATACAAATGTTATGTACATTACTTGTACGTTTTCCACATTATTACGTCATAAATGCATAAGATCCGAAGTCCAGGCATGATTCCATATTCTACTACAGTTTCTGAGGTCATTTCTAGATAAAATGAACTTGCTAAAGGAGGATAAATTGATTGAATCAATCCTGAAGGTTAGGAACTCGTGAAAAATGCTCGTACCCCTCCAGTGGCGTACGGATCGACCCCTCGTTTCGACAAGAGCAATTTAACGACGTCCTCCCTAGAGTACATGGCCGCGATGTGAAGAGCATTGTAATTGTCCTGTGAAAAACGGAGAACAGTTTTCTCAACGAATCGTTCCGTCGATGATCAACGGGCATCGGAGTGGTTACTTCCACTCGGTGGAGCGAAATGGCAACGCGTTAGCCGTCCCGGGTGAAAATAAATGGCGAGAAAGCAAGATTCGCTTGGGTCAAGCGGCCGTATGGTAACCGGGTTATAAATCGCGTTTCGCCGCGCCCAGAATAAAAGGAACGCTCTATATATCGGCGAATAATTCGAAAATGATGCCGAACGTACCGCCTGTTGGGCGGGGCTGGCAATTCCTATCCATGACGATTAACCCCGTTATGCTATACTCGGCAAGGGCTGCGTCAACTTCCGTTACCTAAGCTCCCGCGAGTTACTCAGAAATCGCGGCTAACGCGGAATTTTTCTCGTCGTTACGACGAATCGTGTGGGACACATTCGTCGAAGGAGTTACGAATTAGCGTGGGCGTCGCGGCGTAAGCACGACGGCCGCGAACGAAAGCTCAGATAGAATCTGGTAATATCGCGTTATCAGCACTTAGAATCGAACTACTTTTTCGCCCTACTGACTCGCCGGCCTACTTGCTCCGTTTACTTTCTCGCCATCGCGGTAAACCCCTTGGCCTTGGCCCTCCTTCACGCGATCTTACCCTCCTCTACTCGACTTCAGCACGGATTACAAGGAGATCGTTAACTGTACACGTTTCGTGGTCTGCACCGTAGCTTGACCACGCAGCTGCTGGAATATTACGTGTCGCTGCCACGTAACGCGGCCAGGGAATTATTTCTAAAGTGAATGTCGAAAGAGTCGACTAAGCGAGCCTGCTCAACACGAAAACGTGTACGGTCGTTCAGAGAATTCAATGGGACCACGAGTAACGAACATTGTGAGAAACCAACATTATTAGTGATTTTCAAGAAATACTTGCGTTGTTTCGGGCGCCCACGTCCGCTCCTAGCTCGATCATGCGTTCCAACAACGCTGTGCGATTGTCCTTCACAGCGTACATCAGGGGTGTCATGCCCGTCGCCTGAAAACCAGAATCTTTCGTCAGCAAAACTTGATTGAATCGAGCTCCTCGATCGAGAGAAAAGACGATCTTATTCAACTAACCGGGTCCAAGACGCTGGTGAGAGGGGCGACGGTGCCATCCTCTCCGACGTTCTGCGACGCCTTCTCCAGAGATTTGAGGAGCTGGTCCACCGGTGCCCATTCTCCGCGCGCGGCAAGCCCGAGGAGCTTTTGCGCGGCTTCCCTGGTGGTAGCTCCTGCCGATCCAGGCTTGCTTCCTGGCTGCGTTCCCTCCGTGTTCGCGCTTCCGCCGGCGCTTCCCGTCGCGGACGATCCTCCTGCGTCATCCTTGGCAGATATGGGGCTCTCCTCTTTGCTCGAGAGACTCTTCTTCTCGTCCTTCCCGCCCGAGGTCCTCTTGCTGTTACTGCTCATGGTACCTCGTACGTGGGTCTCTCATCGTAGAGCCCCGACATGCTTCGCGATCCAACGACTCCGCGTTTCCTCTCGGCTACGACGATTGGCGTCGATTCGACGATTCCCTGCGTGGCCTGCGTTCACGAAACGAACCCGTCACCGATGGCTACGGGTAGAAAACAAGCCAATGAACCGAATTCGACGTCGAGCGAGTCCCACGTACCGCGTGCTAACCGCGCGTTTATCCTGCCGTTTCTGAAGACGTTACGTAGCGGAGGGCTCGCGAGGTTCGCCTTCCCTCGACCCTCTCGCTGGGAAACAGGATCGACCAATCACTGTCACGCCACCGCGCGAAACCGCGGGGGTAATGGTACGAACGTGGTTGTTTCAACCAGGCTGCACCGACGCGTGCTGGCCTAACCGGCTCACCCGCTTGGCCGCCGTACACCTCGCTTCGTCGGTACCTAAGAAAATGCGGTACACCCCGGTGGTGGTGGCGGTGGCGAAGTCGAGAAGGCTATTCCTAGGGGAGGGGCGAAACAGCGGTACGGTGGTGGCATGGTCGACGTCGACACGCGACTTCCGGCGCGGCCAGGCACACACGCCATCCGCCTATCTCGGCTCGCCGGTTTTAGACTTTAACCGCTGCCCTCCTCTCTCGGCGGGATTTACCACCGTCGTCATCACCCCTTCTTTCTTTTCGCGACTTTTTCATCTACAAAAGTTTTGTTGACCCTGGGCAGGCTCGATTCTCGCATCATCGAGCAATAAACGTTTATTACGATGATAATTTACGATAATAATTTAAGAGAGGTAATTTGAAAATATGTCGACAACCTCTGTGTGAAAGTAATAAGTAGGAATGCGCAACTGACAACCACAAGATTGCATCTATCCTATCAAGGAGAGCAAGTTCGGTCACGGAAACATAATCTTGGACATCAAGCGTATGGTGTTACAACGTGTTACGTCTGTATCGCGGAAAATGTGCAAACGTTCCAATCGAAGTATTTAGCCGTGATTCGAGTCTGGATCTTCCGTTTACTTGGACAACTGTTGTAAGTCAAGTTATCCAGGTCATCAACGATTCCTTCTCTCCGTAAGCCTTGCGGTGCATAATATGGCCGTTTCTTGCGTAATATTCACGCCACGATCATGCAACATAAGCATTTGCCACTCATATCAGCTCTTTCAACGTTTATTTATCGAAAGAACAATGGAAGTTATCGTTGCTGAGTTGAATTCTACGTATCGTCGCTGCGGCATAACGCAGGAATCTTAATTGTGTTCCGAGTGTTAATGCGCCGGAACTGTACATTCTCGTCATGAACGCTTTCTGTTCGAAACACATCCATCTGACAGTACCATTATTTTTCGACCCATGAAGAAGGAGGTAATAGCAAAGAAACGATACGGTGATCGTGACGAATTTCCAGAAATGGCTATATTACGTTGCACATTCTCATTACAAGATCCTAATGATTCTAACGATTACCTCTTGCAGCTGCTTGGTTTTTCTAGACGCGTTCTGCGTAAATGTTTGGGAATTAACAGTCGGGCGAGGACTCTCGTTATTTTCCACCCTTCCACGATCCGCTCGTTTGGGCGAGTCAAGCCCCAAAGGCAGTCCTCGTCTGTTATCATTAGAGAACATATACGCTTTGTTGTCTCTCGCTAACATTTCTACAACGAAGTTATCTCGTAGATGCTTATGGATTTACTTTGCTTGCCGAACTAAAGTCGGCCCCTCAACTATCCCTAATGCTCAGAACACTATTTTCGGCTGAATTGTATCGGTACCAATCTCGGTCGACCAAAATGGTCGCCCTATGCCGCGTTCAACTGCGTTACTCGTCCAGTAGAGGGCATAAAGCTTATAAAGTCTACCTTGCAGTGAGAATTAGTAAGTGATTATTCATCGGTGGCTTTCTTAGCAGTATTTACTCGATTTTCGTCTCGACGAGGTATTCCCCGCATTAGGTATAGCGATATTGGAACTACGTTCCAGGGTGCCGACAGGAACTGACTCACGCATTCGAATCGGTAATCCACGATAACAATCTGCGTTTCGCTTTACTTCCGGTGGCACAGCCTGGAGTTTTTCTCCTCCAAACGCCCCACGCTTTGTCCAAAAATCCAAAATCGAGTGTATTGAACTCCAGACCCATTCCGCCTCTTTCGAATTCACTCGATGACTTCAATGCGCTCACTCCGGGTACATACATATATCGATATATCGATATTAGGTATTTTACGTAATAACATTTTATCGCGTTCAAAGTAGAACCTTGGCCCCGCAATTTTTTGCAATTCAAGCAATTTAGAAACATCCAATCGTTTAACTTTCCAAGTTAACCGATACATTTGTCAGACAGTAATGACTCTGGCGCATATCTAACGAAATTATTTCTACTTAATCTCCGAATTATTAATAGTAGTAGTATCATTATTACTTATTTTACTGTGTGTAAATTAGGTTTAATTTCGTATGGTTTTGAATACGCAAGGCGACCGGTATGTTTGGGAATTAACGATCGCGCGAGGACTTTCGCTCCTTCTCCCCTTCCCCGATCCGCTCGTCTGTGCGAACTGAACCTTGACAAGGCGCGAAGAGAGTCGTCGTTTGTTATCATTAGAGAATATACACGCTTTGTTGTTCTCTTGCCAGCATTTACGAAGTTATCGAATATAATTTCTGTTAACGTTACCACGTGATGATTTAATTACCTCATTGATTATATTTGTCTTACATTATTCCAGTATTCTTCGTCAAGTCATTGTTTATGATTAGTTCTCTCTTTTTTAAATCAGTTTATTTAACGAAAGGCACGCCAAACGTATACATATTAAAAAAGTATTTATACGTAAGAGTTACTTCAAATTTATTCCAAATAAAAAACTAAAACTTTTCCTATGCTGTTTTTGGGTTAAACAATGGTAACCTTTGATGGAATAGTGCAGTTCAGCCATTGAACTTAATCCTTAAATTCTGCTCTACGTAATCGTCATCAACTCGATCGCAGTCACTCATGCATCCACGCATCGTTGCTCACTTGAGCCACGCGTTACCAAGCTCCTGAAACTTCATTCTAAGAGCTTATTTACTCTTTTCTCTTGTTTGCTAGTTAAACGTAAACACCACACTCTTCATTCATGCCTGCAATCGCTCGATCTATTAATTCGAAAGGTTCATTCAACTTGTACTTGCTTGGAATTTCCTTGATGCACAATTTTAGATACTGACAAACGCATTTTAGTACTGCTCGGCAAGTTGTAAAAAGTTTGTAAAAAGGTATCGAGTGACGCCAATCGAGATCTAGCTAAAAAACTGGGAATAATACAATAAGACAGACCTGTTTGGTTCGTCTTTTTTTAATAATCGAGGTTTCAGCTGGTCACGTATCATTTTTCTTTGTTACCTAAGCTATTAATTTGTGCCATCTAACCGGCTAATCTCATTCCCACCGCTCCAACTTCAGTCCTCAACCTCAGGGGTTCCGTAACATTTCTTAGGTGCATATCGCGATAATGTACTCCGTGAGTCTTAAGCTTCTACCACTTGTACAACACAATATCAAAGTTCACGCGTCTTTGACAATCTTATTAAAGATAACTTAATGTTTAGTCCGATAGGGTGCGCGCAGCTGTGCTTAATGATAATCACTCCCCGACGAATTCTTAACGCACATCCGAACGGCTCCATTACTCGTCAATTTGTCGACGTTGTGATTCGCGCGTTCGATCGGAGAACACGATCCGCGACAGACTCGTCAATCGGAAGATATGCATCTCTCGTGGATTAGCAGAAGCTCGGTGTTGCTATCGGCCACCAGCTCTCACGTTCAATGCAAGCATGCATCTGCTCGGAGGAACTTAATATTAGGTGAGTATTTTAAATAGCTACTAAGAAATTCGACATACGAGCAGGCTTACATAACAACTTATCTCACAATTTTTTATCTAGTCTGTACTCGAGCTTTGGAATCGCACAGCGCTTGGACGCAACAGAAACGATTCAGACATGACAGCAAGACAAAGTTGGCGCACATGTCGTTATCAGGGGATATTCCTCTGTTGGACACAACCGTAGGTGTAGTACTAGGAGAAGCAGCGAAAAGATGGCCTGACCACGAGTGCATAGTGTCCGTCCACCAAAATGTTCGCCTAACGTTAGCGAACGTTGTTCGTCGCGCCGATTGTCTAGCAGCTGGTCTTAAGAAACTGGGCCTGAAACAGGGCGATCGTCTGGGTATATGGGCTCCCAACGACATCGAGTGGTACATAAGCTTCATGGCCTCCGCCAGGGCTGGCCTGATCACCGTAGCGATTAATCCCTCTTACCAGATGAGCGAGATCGTCTATTGTTTGAACAAGGTGGGCACCAAGGTTGTGATAGCGCCCGACAGCTTCAAGACGCAGAACTATCCTAACATGCTGCTCGAATGCCGTCGAGTCTGCCCTAGTTTGGAGCATATAATCATCTACTCGAAGGATCACGTGACGTAAGAAAGCCCTCCGTCCAGAGCATCCGGCGGTCAGTCGCGACGTTTACATCCTCCTCGACACGAATCAGCGGACAACGCGAAGCGGTTATCTCTCGCGGAATGATAAATCCGTGTTCCCTTGGAATTTCGTCTAATTTAAGCGATGGAACGAAACGTCGTGCGATAACTCTTTGGTATCCGGCTAGGGCCGGTCGATAAACAGTACAGGACGGCGATGAAGCCGCGTAAATCCTTCGTCCTTAGGAAACGCGGTCGTGTCGAGGAGCGAGGGGCTCGGTTCGAACGGTGCGAGCCTCCGCGAAGTAAATTCGTCGCGAATGGCCGTTTCTCGCGATAAGTTTCTCGATTCGGACGAGGTCGAGCGGTTACGCGGTTTTAATGTATTCGCGCCTCCGTCCGTTTGCTCGCCGCTTCAGTGATTCATGAATATCGCGTGCGAACGACGCGCTGGCTACGCGATCGACGCACAACCCGCGTTTGACTTCGTTGAAAACGGGTTAATTGCGGCAACGCCCATCAACGCCCGTCAACGAGAACGATTTCGTCTTCCCTCATCCGAGAACGGAAGTCACCCCTGCCAGCCATTTCTTTCCCTCGTCGATTCGAACGTCTGGGGAATGCGGATACGAAATCATGCTGTGACCGTCGAAGGTTTATATTCATTCGGAAGATTTACCGAACCTTAAATTAATCATGCTCGGACGCGGACAAGCACAAACGTTCTTAAAAACGAGTTGTATAGCAATCACGGGAACCGTCGATGAAAAGCGAGTCGATGGTCCGCGCAGAAACGAATTACCGCGAGTGCTTTGCAATTTCCTAAAAACGCGACCTCGAGTCCTTCCTCTCGCGGGGTTGGAGGCCGCAATCAGGCCACCTGCCGACCGTCGTCGATTGATCGTCTCGCTCAACCTTACCGCCAATCTATTTCCATC